AGGGAAGCAAGTAGGGTTTGGGGAAACTGCTGCTTGAAATTGTGCAGAGGCACTGCTTGTCCATATAGACTATACTGGCCCAACAGGCTGTGTTCTGTGCTATTATGAAAGAGGTGAATAGGAGAGTTATCTTTAAATTGGGTTGGAGGAACTGTCAGTTATTTAATTCCCTTAACTCACACCTCACGGTGTTCCCCAGGGATATCATTTCAGTTTTGTGTAGGGGTCTGTGTGTGTATCCTGTTGAACAAAAGGGGAAGAAGAAAGCTTTCTGTGTTGAGCAAGGTAAGAAATCAACCTATTCAAAGCAAATGATTTTGACTGTTAGGCATAGATATTTAGTACTTGGTCTGTTTACAAATGGAGTGAATTTTTTTCACTCTGAATAACATCTGAATAACAACATGCAGGCTGAAATAGAAGTAGACAGGAGGCAGCCCACCTCATACTTTCTGAATAGCACCTTTGTTTTCCCCTCAGTAAGCATTGTATTTTATCTGTTGTCCTGAAGTTTGGAGCCTAGGAATTTTTGTTATGGGTCTGAGAGTGCCATGCAGTCATGGGTCCAACTAGCATAAAGAAAGGCTACAGAAAGCATAAAATATGTATTTGTTACTCTGAGACATTTCCTCTCTAATTTTTGTTCCACCTTGCACTTCATATTTTTGCAGTTCATTACAAGCTGTGGAGAGAAAAGGTCTGCATGAAACAGCACACTGTGTGCAAATGTGTATGTTCCAGCTTATTTCCCCCAAATAATATAAATAATAAGTCAGATTCTATTTATGAAATATGAAAAATAAGACACATATTTGTCACAATCTATTTTTTATGATCCTTTGGGCAATCCCACAGCACTCCCTCTGAAAGAAACGAAATAAGTAGTTTTATTTATATTTAGAAGACCAATTTCAATTTCAGTTCCCTTTTTCCCCCATTGAGAGGTTTCATTGCTTTTGATATATTTTAAGTCCCTGTTCAACTGCCTTTTTATTTGCAAAATAGTTATGAATTCTAAGAGAATATCCCTGTGGGGGGCGGGAATCATATATTTAATAGTTCATATTGAAAAGTGTGTGTGTTCAATATATAGGAAGGAGAGTAGTTGAGAGAATCTTCCCTCTCTCTCTTGGTTGAGATAGAGAATCGCCTCATGTATTTGTAAATCATGTGAACAGTCACTCTTCTAAGCATCACAAGCAGATGTAACCAGGCAGATGTGATGTGGTGAATACCTTACAAATGATGTAACTCTGTGGTCTCCATTGTGGCATCGCAAGATGCAATTCTGCCATTTTGGATGTTATCTGGTGCCTGTGAAGACTGTGCCCTGTCACCAGTTCCAGTGCCTCCCTTGTCATGAGGTAGACTGTGTGGTTACTTTCCCACCCTGCTGAAAAAGGACCCAGGAAGGTAGGAAGGAAAGGAGAATGATCTGGGGAAGGCAGCAGAGGGAGGAGGAGAAAGTAGGGTGTCAGAGGAATGGAGCAGGGGGATGGAGTATCAGAGACAGAGGGAAGTCACACACCTGTCAGATCCAGTGGAACATAGTCCCTTGAAAAGGTGGAATTATTATTATTATTATTAGTAGTAGTATTATTATTATTATTAATTATTTATACCACACCTATCTGGCTGTGTTTCCCCAACCACTCTGGGTGGCTTGCAGCACATTAAAAATGGTAAAGCATTACACATTAATAATTTCCTGATACAGGGTTGGCTTCAGATGTCTTCTAAAAGTCAGATAGTTTATTTCCTTGACATCTGGTGAGAGGGCGTTCCACAGGGCGGACACCACTACTGAGAGTGCCCTCTGCCTGGTTCCCTGTAACCTCTCTTCATGCAGGGAGGGAGGTGCCATAAGGCCCTCGAAGGTTGACCTTGTGTCCGTGCTGAACGATGAGGGTGGAGACGCTTCTTCACACACACGCTCCAGCCACCAGCAGTCGCTATTGACTGAACTGTAAGAATTACAGATCCAGTGCTCATAGGTTCTGCCGTGGTGCAAATACATAATCAGATTCACAGAATCATATAGATTCTCATAATGTTTGCTAATTCCCTCAGAACCACCATCAACTCATAGCCTCCTATGTGTGGACATTTTCTTCTGTTATTTGTTGCTGGTTTTGACGTACCATGGAAAAATCATGAAGCTCTGTTAGGATCTATGCCTTGGAGCAATTTTTTTTTAGTGCTGGCAATTCTGGATCTCTGGTTTTTATTGTGTGTACCAATGTAAGCTTTAATCTGTTACACTTTGTGGGGGGCATAAAAATATGCAAATTTAAAGGGATCCATTTTAATTATACTGGATCTGACTTCTAGCTAGACCCCTTGGAAAAGCAAAGTGTGTGTGTGTGTGTTTGTCTTTGCACCTGCACATTCAGACACATGTGTGCTTTCCTGCTTTCTAGGGAGGGAGAGTGACATTGAGGAGGGGAAAGAGGTGGAAGCTGAAAGGGGTGCTGCTTGTGACACTTCCACATAATTTCAAATGTGCCCACAGCCCCTAAGTTTGGTGACTCCTACTATAATTGCTGTCACATCCGTATAACAAACAAAAAAAATGCTGTCATGTGAAAGAAGTTTTTAGCAGCTTGCCCATAGCTCTATTGTTTCTAACTTCATATAATCAACACTTTTATTTTTATCTGAGCATTTTCTGTGGCAAAACATTTTTTTCCCCCAAGCATAAGATCAGAAGTATAGCCTTCATTATTATTTTTTTACCTGGAGGATGGAAAGGTAGAACACTGTGTGTTCTGATCTAGGATTAGACAAAGTTCCATTTTGGGTCTTTATACTGAAGCTTACTGCCACATTTTATTTTCCTTATTTAATGCAAATGATATTTGTTAGCTATGCAGAAGAGAGAATTGCAATAGCTCTCCCCACCGGTGTGCAACACACATCAGCTGCCATAGTCCCGTCCCCCCCCCCCGAATAGCTAGTAGAGGAAAATGAGCTCCTTGTTCCTTTGCGCCTGCTCTCTTCTGGTGGTGTAATGGTTAAGAGCGGTAGTCTCCTAATCTGGGGAACCTGGTTCGTGTCTCCGCTCCTCCACATGCAGCTGCTGGGTGACCTTGGGCCAGTCACACTTCTTTGAAGTCTCTCAGCCTCACTCACCTCACAGAGTGTTTGTTGTGGGGGAGGAAGGGAAAGGGGAATGTTAGCTGCTTTGAGACTCCTTCGGGTAGTGATAAAGCGGGATATCAAATCCAAACTCTTCTTCTTCTTCTTCTTCTTCTTCTTCTTCGAAGAGTTAAATAAAAATGGTTTTCAGTGCAGCAGTTGAAGACCAATGGTTAAAATAGCAAGACCCTTGCCCACTTGTAGAATTGCAGAGTTGAAGGGTGTTGCGCATCGAGGTCTGCAAGACACCCCCCCAAAGAAAAACACAATTGACACTTAATTTTTGTTTAAGGTTTTTGGCATAATTTTGGCCACAACTTTATTCAAATTACAGCAATGTGAGTGGTTGCTTAGGCATTGGTAGCACTAACTGACCCCACCCGGGGACAGCTCTGACATTCGCACCCTCCACGAAGTCAGCAAGGGTAAGTCACCTGGGGAGAGAGACGGGACTGGGAACCATGCCTCACCTCTCCCCAGAATGCTCCCAGGGGCTTGCGTGGCCCTAGCCCCTTGCCCCAGGGGGTTTCAGACAAAAGCATGGGGAGCCCCTGGGTTCCTTTAACAGAAAACCCTTGAAGCAGCAGCAGCAGCATTTTGGAGGGGCAGGCACAGTGAATCCATACCCCTCCACCAACCAATTCCAAGACCAATGCCTAACCGCAAACCTTACAAGTTGTGACGATTTGCTACGCAGTAGGCAAAAACCAAGTGGCACACACTAATCAGCCAAATGGACAAAATTCCTACCAGGCCCCTGCCCCAAAGCAGACGATCCCATGACAGGCATAGCAAGGTCAAGCAAACAGCCTAAAATTAGGGAAGGGAGGGTGGGTGATCCGAAGTAAGCAGCGAAAAGAGGAAGTTCTTCGTTGCGAGCATTGTATTTAACAAATAGGGCTGTCAATCAGCAAATGGCAACATCTAGATTTCCCCAGTAACAGCCCGCCCCTGCTTAAAGGATGGCCAAACCATTTGCCTAGTAACAGTGAGGTGTCTTGTCAGCCCCGCCCGCAACCTGTGCTCTCCATGAGGGAGAACACACTTTTTCCAACAAAAGTCAGAGTCTGAGGCATGGTGGTATGGTCTACAAAGCCAGTTAAAGGGGGTTAGTAGTGATCAGAATACTGGGAAGACAGTGTAGGGTAGTGTTTAGTTTTGGACTATGACATGAGAGAACGGGATTCAAATCCCCACTCAGCCATTAAGCTTACTGAGTGACCTTGGACTAGTCACTGCCTCTCCACCTCACATACCACACAGGGTTGTGTTGTGGCACTAAATGTGGGGGAGAAGAACCATAAAGGCCACCTTGAGATCCTTGGAGGAAAAAGGTGGGGTATAAACACAATAAATAGGTAAGAAAGATTCTTACACATTTCCCCTTGATTATTAGGAACCAAAGTGGCAACTGAATAGCCCAAAGAACAATTACATTAGAGGTCAATGAGAATGCTGCATCTCTTCATTGTAGTATAGCCTGGGAATGGGTTGACTTCATTCAGCGTGCCTGTGTATCTGACCCTCATTGCTGCCTCCTTTGAGACTTCTTTGACAAATGCATGTCTCCTAATCTGTAAAAAGCCATGACACTCTGTAGTTAATGTTAAGAACTTTTGCTCCATCGTAGGTTTGGCCATATATCAACCTTTCTAGCCTATATCTCTGAAGCTGAGCAGGGATACGGTGAGGACCATAACATTTATTAACATGGTGCCCACTATTAATAAGCCTCAATGCCTTTCTCAGTGAAAAACTGTTAGCAATTTCCCCTTCATATATTTTTTAAAAATATGACTGCTGCCTCACTCTAAAAAATACAAGTGGCTCAAATGGATTCATCTGAAGGATATGCCACATGCTTGCTTGATTTATGACCAATGTTCTTGTTCCTTTCTTTCCCCTTACTTCTCTCTCTCTGTCTCTCTTCATGGCAAGTGCCTGGAAAAGTCAGGGACTCTGCAGGGAGAACAACAAAAATGGTGAATAGATTTAGTAGAATATTTGGAAGTAAAAGGCATTACACAAAATACCTTTCTTGGCTTTTCAACTTCACACAGTGAAGTTTGATAGGATAAAATATAGTTATTAATCGAGGTTATAGCACTTTTACAGCCCAATCCAATGCTTGTTTTCTTGGTAGCCTCACTCAGTTCAATGGGACGTCCACCCTGCAAAATATGCAACGTTAGGCTGAAATCCTATACCTAGTTACCTGGAGTAAACCCTATTGAAGATAATGGAATTAACTTCTGAGTAGACAAGTGTGCTGTTAGTGTACAAAGTGTATCACAGTCTTTTTATTGTTTTCATTATAACTGAAGCCAAACAATGGGAATTTGCTCACGGCAAGTCTCTGGCTCAAGAAGACCTTGATTTTCCAAATCCAAGTTCAGCAATTCTGTTGACTTGATGAGACCTCAGTGGTCTTGAATATCCATCTCCTGGTATAATTTGGTAGACCGACAAGCTCCTCGGTTGATATAAAACTCTGCCGGATTAGTTCTCCACCCAAGGAAGAGCTAGAAGAGTCAAGTGATGTGTTCAGTTCAGTGCAATTATGGCCCAAATAAAAGCCTCAGAAAGCTCTTAATAACAGGCAAGCACCCTTGCCCTTTCCCAGATGAGTGTTGTGTGGTAGATGGCAGAAGGACTTCTTTCTGATTCTGTAAATTGCATGCCTCAAAGACAAGATGTAAACTAATTTATCACTGTCCCACTGAATTGCAGGCTTCAGCTGATCAAGGAGGATTTTGTGATCAATGGTGTCAAATGCTAAAGAGATGTCAAGGAGCAGCAGCCAATTAACCTTACCTGATTTAGTGGCAATCAATAGGGCACTTGTGACCATTAATGATGGCATTTTCTATAGAATGGGCTCCAATGGAGATGAACCTAATACTAAAAAGATCAGCTGGACTTTGAAAGTAGCCTGAATGTAGTGTGTGAGGAAAACTATCAAAAAGAACAAAGTCTTCCAAGGCAATACAAATATTGCTGCTATTTTCTTCTTCTCAACAGTAATAACTCTCTCAGGGTTGTGATATCCCGACTTTCTGTTAGGTCTAGCAGTTATTACTTAGGAATTTCTAGGTTCCTTTGCCACTCTGAAAATGACAACCTTTTCATTTTCTTTACCAGAAATGATGACATGTATGTTATAAGTTTTGGTCCAAGAAAATGTTATTAGATTGTATCATATAAGGAATTATTTTATAGTAATATAATCTCACTCAAATGGGAATTGATGTGTGTCTTATTTCTGTTTCTGTGGGCAATGGAATAGAAAAGAGAGAGAAGTTGTTTTCTGATTTTGTTGTTGGCAATATGGGGGCGAGCTTGTTAACAATTTTACAAAATATAAAATTGGGTAAAAATACAAAAAAGAAAAAAAAAGATTCCATTCAGAGAATCTTTAAGTACTTTGGAAAATACATTATCTGAGCAATGGGAATATGAAAGCATCATAGTGGTATACTCATTTAGGAAGGTTTTCTGGAATTTCTGTCTTTCCTGAAGTGTGTTGGACCAGCACAAGTAATGCAGAAGGGGGGGGGGGGAGAGAAGATCCAAATTATCTCTGTAGATCTTGATAACATAAACTGTGAAGAATCTATCTTTATGAGGAAACACCTATATTTAAGAACAAGTAATGGCTAGTATGGTGGGACAGTGCCACTGAGCTATCCACCCCAAACCACATGGCTGCCACTTACCTGTGGGAGTGGGGGGATAGGTTGGCATTGAGGATGGGGCTGTGAAGGAGCCAATCTGACGCTGACTCTGGTGTTCCCACTCAGCCCCAACTTCACTTGGGAGGGCAGCACTCACCCACTGCACCAGAATGCTATTTGGCTGGAAACAAAGTATGTGTTGTGTTTGGTTTAGTGTGTTGAGAGGAAATCTGGCCATCTAAAGTCAGAAAGATGCATTCTTTGTTTCTGAGCTGTTGACTAGGTAACTTGTGAGGCTTCTCAGATTTTATATGGTTCACTAGAATTCAAAAAGTTTGAACGTGATAGGTCGTTTATCAGACATTCCATTTAAACTTACTGGTTTTGGAATTCTTGTGTAAAGCTGGTGATAGGTTAGAGGGTTCTTACTGGAGAGAATAAAAGGGCAGGTTCAGTCTTTGGAAGACTGTGAAGAGATTCGTTGAGGGAATAAGATACTATAAAGAGGCAAGAAACAAGCTTAAAGATTGATTCTGGAACTCAGAGCTGCAGCAATATTTTGTGCATGTGGCTAAGAGTCTGCATATAATCATTGAAAGATGGGATCTTGTGTGTTCAGTGCTTTTTTTCTCAGTTTGGGAACAGTCAGAAATACTAGGAAATACTAGGAAAGGGCTGCTTACCGCCAGCTTTGCGGGGAGTGAAGGTTGTGGTCTGGTTCGGCTGCAGCAAGTTGGAATATCCTCCTAGTTCGGGTGTGATGGGGGGAAGGTGTAATTCCCTTCTCTGCTGGGCACACCAGTCAATGTAGTCAATTGTGGGTGAGTTGGGGGAGGCATGCTATGGGGAGAAGACCAGAGGAAAGATTTTCCCCTTCTGGTCTGCTCCCTGGCTCTAAAAGCAGCAGGCCTAGCTATAGAAGTCTTCAGTTACCATATTTGGGGCCAGGAAGTAACTTGCCTTCAGACAAGACCTGTCTGGGATTTTTGCCTACCTCATAGCAATTGTCACAACCAGATGACAGATAAGGCACTGGGCTGAATCCTTAGCCAGAGTGAAGTGGGGTGTAGCCCCTCAAATTCAGGGTATCCCCTTAAGGGATCCAGGGGGGAGGTGCTTTTGTCCAGACACCCGGCGGGGGGGGGGGGAGCTGATGAGCCATAGCATCCTCCCAAATGGTGATCTTGAAGAGGTCACCCTGATTTGATGTACAGTATAGGGCGATCATAAACCGTGGTTAACCTTGCAAAAAATAACCAACCAGCAGACAGGTTGGTTGATCCAGGGTAGACATCACATCTGTGAACTGCCCAGAGATCTTATGATGAAGGGTGGCGTATAAATATAATCAATCCTGTGCCTATGCCAAAACCTGCTGACATCAATAAAGTTGTAGCTTGTTTAAATCCCATTTGGCTATCCTGTAGTTATCTAAACCTTATAATGCCTTGGCCCTGCCTCCTGCAGCTTTACTGCACCTGTAAAACAAACCAGAGACCTCCAGAGTTTGATGACAGTGAAGGTAGCTGGTAGGACTGTGAAACCCCAGCCACATAAGCTTGCAGAATGTGAACTTGCAGAATATATAGAAAATAAAGCAACAGAGGATATGGGTGCTCAGTATAGTTGCAAGTTGACATCTAACTAGGGTCATTTGGTGCTCAGAGGTGTGTATTCTGATGCACTCAGTGGCACTGTCCTTTAGCTGTTTTGTGCATACAGAAAAAGTCCTATCTAGTGTGTAACAAATATCTTAATAGAATGTGGATATTTATCAATAAAAGCTGTAGATGCTAAATATGAAATGGAGAAAACTGTGTTTTCTTGGTTGGAAGTGGGAAACATTTTAGCCAAGTCATTTTTTCTGGTTTCATGTGTACTCCATAAAGTTCCTTTATTTTTATTTTTTAAGGCAATGATTTTTGTGAGTTGTTATGCTGTGCCATGGATTGCAAAGTTACAGCTGTTCCCATTCATGCATATTTTTTGCCTGATACTGCACTGCACCATCAATACTGCACGGTCCTAATACCCCTAATACTGCTTAGCCAAGTCAGAAAGAATTGGTTTCAAACATAATTTTTATGTCGGTGGCAAAGCAGTAGGATTTAATGTGGTGTATTTCAATACATTTGGACCAGAAGGGACTGAAATATTTAGAGGTGCTGTGAACAGGGGCAAAGATGCTGCTCTTACTTTGAATTGGTGCACTAATATCATTCCAGCTACCGCAAAGTGCTGGTCTTGAGAGGGGCAGTGACAAAGCCAAAAGCCATGAAAAACTTATTCAAGGAATAATTTGTGCTCCTTTTGATGCCGAAAGCATTCAGCGGTGAACATCAGCACAGCTGCAGTTTAAACATTGCGAAAATATTCATGTCATCTTTGTAATAATCTGATGGAGCATTTAAGCTGTCCAGTTGTGAAGGTCCTTGACACTGAATAAAGATAAAGACATAAAAAGCACAGCAATAAAGAGCAAGCTATACAATGATGACATCCAGTGCCTTGGGATATCGTATTAGCCTCAAAAACCTGAAGCACATGCTCCCAACTAGAGGGAAATGATAAGAAAAAAATACTCCTTAGAGATCCCAGACCTCCTGCCAATACTGATGCTTAGAATTAAAGCCATTTGCTGTTATGCTTCACTTAACCTTCCGGATTGAAGATCAAAACTTTATAAAACTGTTAAGTGCTTGAAAAAATAACTCCAAAGCAATGTTGAACCCTGTGCACTTAAAATGCAAAGCACTCAGTCTCCTCCTGTGAGACAGAAACAGGATCAGCACTGGCTTCATAAAACTGATTCTCAATGTGATCTGAGAGTTGTAAAGGATAATCCTCCTGTTTGTCCCTCTCTTCTCTCTCTGCTGTTTGCCATCTATGCAGATACCCAGTTGAGTTCTCTTATACTGGGTGGTTTAGAAGATTGATGGCCGGAATCCCAATTTTCCTCAGATTTTTAGAGTGATGATGATGATAATAATAATTTTATTATCTATACCCCGCCCATCTGGCTGGGTTTCCCCAGCCACTCTGGGCAGCTTCCAACAGAGGACTAAAAATAGAATAAAACGTCAGTCATTAAAAACTTCCCTAAACAGGGCTGCCTTCAGATGTCTTCTAAAGGTCAGATAGCTGTTTATGTCCTTGACATCTGATGGGAGGGCGTTCCATAGGACAGGCACCACTACCGAGAAGGCTCTCTGCCTGCTTCCCTGTAACTTCACTTCTCGCAGTGACGGAACTGCCAGAAGGCCCTCGGCACTGGACCTCAGTGTTTGGGCTGAACCATGGGGGTGGAGATGCTCCTTCAGGTATACAGGACTGAGGCCATTTAGGGCTTTAAAGGTCAGCACCAACTCTTTGAAAGTCAGAAAGTTCTTGTGTGGGGAAACTCCATCTGCAATGCAGAACTGCTTTGCAGCACACACTGTTATGAGCTTAAAAGCAGTTTCACATAATAGATTTGACATTTGAATTGACAGTGCTATTTTGCCCTCCCCAATATAAACTTATTCACTCTAAGATCTAGAAATCATTCTATGATGTTCCTCTAACTGGATGAGGTACTGAGCCTTTAGGCTCTCTGTCTATATAGGTTATAAGATATTCTTCATCCATGTTTCATTCTACGTTTTCAGGAACAATTATTCAGCAATATTTTTAAAGGGCTAGTTTCTGCCTGTGTGCAGATCGTCCAGTTTTTAAATCTTAGGTTTTG